TAAAAACTATTCCAACTTTTGTGAATTACTGCTTTGTATTTGGCATAAATGCGATTCTGAGACCGAATTGGGATATACGAGAGCTTTGATTTGAAAATTTGTAGCGATTATTGTTAGATTGAGACCGAAGAACTGTACGTTGGAAAGGAAAGTCGAATCGGAGAGAAGTGGCTGACTGGATTCTCGTCTGTTTCGCCAGTGTCTCTCCTCCGCTCGTCCTGACAAGACGCTTCCTCCCACCGGGAGGATCTCTATTCGCTCCGTCGCTTGCTTCTTTTCGTTCTTTCCTCATCTTCTTTCGATGTTTTTCTTCTCCTTTCCTTGGGCCTTCCGTGTTTTTGTTCTGCCGTTCGCTCGAGCGGGAAACATCGAAATCGCGAAAATAATACCAATCGTGTACGAAACGCACTCGAAGGCTGAAGGATGTGTTCCCAGTATCGGTCGTGCACGCTCGGTTTCATCCGCTGTACTCCAAACGAGGGAATAAATAATTACATTTCGAGTTCATTTCCATGCTGCAAAAACTTCATTTGGTACGCCCCCTTGACTCATGATTGGCTTCCTTGTTTTCTTTCTTACAGATGAGGGAACGAGAAGAGAAAGGAAAATATATAGGATGAGGGCCGTGATTAAATTTTTCCATCTCGAGAACCAAATGGTTTCTCTATTTTCCCGCAGAAACTTCTTTAATGCGAGGCGGGAATTTGCGACTAATGAGATGAGATCGGGCTTTCTCCTCCTCCCATCCGCGAAAAATGGCTTCATCAGACTAATGGAAGAGTCGACTCGAGTTCAATCATGCCGGATTCCCTTTCCTTTTCTGTCTCCCCTAAGGAAGAGATAAAAAAGAAGTTGTTGGGAAACTAACCTGTCTATTATTGGGGAAAATGATCTTTCTCGACGACCGTGCAGCAGCGGGACTCCCCGCTAATCTCATCATTTTTTGATTGATCGGAGAAAAAAAAAGAGGAGAGGGAAGTGATCAATTCATTCCTTTTCGGGAGATGGAGCCGGGAATATTTCATGGTGGGATCTTGATTGACGAGTCACGCAAACGGAACCAATTCCCCATTATGTCCTCCCTCTCTAAATCGATGACGGGAAGCTGAGATTAAGGAGCCCGATTTCGCATTATATAATATGAGATTCATAACTCCGGTCTAATGAGAGGCGGAGGAGCCTCATCTCCCCTCTCATCAAGGAGTTCTAATTAAATCTCCCCAACTTCTAATTTTTCCGCCCTCACTCTCCGTTTCGCTCGCAAACCTTTCTTCAACAAATTTATTCCTGCAAACTTTGTAATGGGGAGGAAATCGACGATATCGCTTATCCGCCCATCATAGTTTCCCTCCCCCCCCCCCCCCTCCCCCCATTTTTTGCTCAAAACAGAACGAGGAGGCACGGTATCAGATCCGATCGGTCCGGAAATATTTCATCTTAACGACTCATAACTGAGTTTTTTCAATGCCCATTATGAATGAGTGTCCCGATAACGTTTCTGGTTCATTTCACCCTCTCCCTATGGGTCCATTAAGGCTCATTTCATAAAAGCATCTTTTATCTCATGAGTTTTTTGAATGGACTGGCAAGGCATGGCAAGGCCTCGATTTTATCTGACTCGCTGCCTCGATTCGGATAGCAAGGTTTTTTTTTTAGCGAATGGCAAGCGGGGATACGATGAGAAGAAATCCTCGTAGAAATACGATGAGGATTTGAAGGTCCAAATAGCCTAATGCAGTCGGGATGGCCGTAATCCTATGACAAGGGGACAAATAAGGCCATTCCCTGCCGAGATCCTCTACCCTTTCCTAAAGACTCGGGATAGGAATAAGGGACATGGTTTCCCACTTTCTTTCATTCCCTTCATGCCTCGATTGCCCTTCCTTCCTGCATCTTTTCTTCCTTTCCCTCTATAGCAGGCAGTCACGATCAGACGGAAGCTTCCCTGGCCCGGAAACGCTCTCGCTTTCTCTCACTCGCACTATGGTCTCCTTGCGGAGAAATGATCTTCATCCGAGAAGACATAACTTTTTTGCCGATCGCTGCAACGGAGGAAAGCGAGAAGAACGACCAACTTCTCATCGTGACCGCAGGAAATAGAAATAGTATCGGGTTATTCTTGGCTCCAGACATCGTAGGCCGTAAAAGTGGAATTCTCTGCACGGACGGAAAGCGCGACGACGAAGACCGAACGCCGATTTCTCTCATCGAGATTCCGTCTTCGCTCGTTTGCATATCGTAACACCGATCGGCCTTCGGCTTCGAGCCGGTTCGGTGAGCGAAACGCCGGAGGTGGAAGGAGGAGCAGTCTTAGGCCGTTCGAGTGAGCTGGAAGGAGACGAGACGAGAGGAAGTGGACTGCAAGGACTCCTGCCGGCCCTCCAGAACGCTTTTGCCGCATCTCCTCACAGGAAGCAGCAAGAATGATGAAGAAGGAAGACGGTTATCTGCACTACGAGAGGGAAATACGGAGAGGACAAAATCAGGTGGCGTTCACGCAGCCATTAAGAACACGTCCGTTTCTCGTCCTTGCGAAATCCTCCCCATGGGAAGAGACAAATATAGATCGTGCAAGGGGCGTACGCAATACTCCTCCGATATCGACGACATGTGAGGGCTGCCAGCTCTAACGTATTATTATCGGTACGAAGAATGAGTATTTCCTGCACGAAGACCCACGCGAGCGCTCTCCCCCTCTACAAATCCGCGGAGCATTATGGTCCGCCTGTTTCGTGCTAGATGTCACATGCTTTCAGGCATTCTCGGTTGCTCTGTCCTTCCCTAGTCGATTCGTAGACCGTCTCACCGATAGGCTGTTTACTTAACCCTCATCCGGGCAAGGTATTTTTGTGACACAAACGGGCAAGGCCAAACATTTTTAGAATTTTTTTCCTTAAAAGCAAATCCAAACTTTAAAAGTTCGTTTCTGAATCTATGGATGACTGTCTATGAAACCCACTGGGGAGTCCAATGGACTCCCCTTGCCCGGATAAGGGTTAAGAATGATTTGGAGAATGCAGTTGAAACCGGATTGCCATCCTCTAGAGCGGTAGTTCCCAATCTTTTTTCATTTGCGGCACACATAAAGGACACTTGAACTTTCCACGGCACACCTAGCCATTTACTTACTTTCAATGGGAAACTTGTGCTTACTTCGCTGAACACAGCAGTTTCATACGAGGCGTGATAGTGCAACTCTCAGCTCGTTTTCCACTAAGAGATGGCGTTCCCTCTCGAAGTTTTTTTTTTAGTTTTAGTTTTTTAGTTTTTTTGTCAACTCTGAAATCTCACGGCACATTTAAGCCTTACTGGCGGCACACCAGTATGCCGTGGCACACCGTTTGGGAAACTGCTCAAGAGCAGGGTTCTCAAACTGTGAGTCGCGACGCCCGAAGGGGTTGCCAAAGGGTCGGAGGGAGGTTGCAAAGGGGTAACAGTGGAATCGGAGAAAGGCAATAGGATGATTCCGTGTCAGTCCGCACACTCCCCCACCCACCCCCCCCCC